ATACATACAGATATCATGTAAAAAAGTAATAGAAATGGATTCAGGAACAGTCAAAATGTTTTTATTTCATTTAACACTTTGTGGGCCGCTGTCACGCTGGTGTGACTTTTGCTCGCCAACAGTTATCGGCCGCTGTCACGTACGCGTGACTTATTTTCGCCAACGACGATGCTTCACATCGACGTTTGTATAGATAGACATACTATAGCAAAACATTTGACGATCAGGAAACATTGGTTTCAATGGTTTTCCTCTCCCAATTCACCAGACAGTCTATTATTGAAATCTTTTTTCATGGACATTTGTTTTGTTAGTTTGAGACTGTCTTTCGCTGCCTTCAAATATCGAAAACTTATATTAGATTTAAAGATATTCAAAATGCTCTTCGATGAAGAAATATATGCTGATATGTTATCAGAAGAGGATAATTGTTCTGATAGTGAAAGTGATTCGGACAGTGGGAGCGATAGAATTGCGAGGCGATTTAAAAATAAGGGAAGACCAATAATTAGTGAATCTGAAAGTGATGAAGAGAATTCTGTGGCATATGATTGGCCAGAAGTTGATTTTAAACCTAACTTCCATGCTTGCCTGGAACGGTTTGGGTTACAGGTACCATACACACCAGATATATTATCAACTGTGGAATTGTTCATTGAGGACGATTTATTTAATTTCTTTGCCACACAAACAAACTTATATTATAATCAGCAGAATAATGATAACAATGCATCAACAAACAATAAAGCTTGGATTGATACAAATGTTGTAGAAATGAAAAAACTTTTGGGACCTTGTTATCCTAATGGGAATAGTAAGAAAACCAGAACAAGACGATTATTGGTCAACTCACCCTGGATTATATACACTTTTTTTGGGGAATACTATGCCAAGGAACCGATTTTGGCAGTTATGGAAGTATTGACACTTCATTAATAATGAGCATTGCCAAGAAAGGCTTGATAAAATAAAACCAATTTACTCGTACCTGGTAGAGAAGTTTCAAAACATTTATAAACCCGAGAAAGAATTATCGCTGGATGAAGGTATCATTCCATGGAGGAGCAGGCTATCTTTTCGTACATATAATCCTGCGAAAATTATAAAATATGGAATTTTAGTCCGTATGGTGTGTGAGGCGACATCTGGTTATATATGCAATTTAGAAATATATTGCGCGCAAGGAAAATCGCTAATTGCGACAATATTGTCCGTGCTATCGCCATATTTAAATTTATGGCACGATGTATATATGGACAACTATTACAATAGTGTAAAGGTTGCAGAGGAGTTACTAAAGCATAAAACAAACATCTGTGGCACAATTAGAGTAAACAGAGGAGTGCCAAATTGTTTAAAATCTGCTACATTGAAAAATAAGTCAATGGAATTTCGTAGAAAAGGGAAAATTATGGTACAAAAATGGAATTCGACCAAAAAATTTATAATGATAATTTCTACAATACATTCAGCAGACATGGTCGAATGTGTGAGTAAAAGAACCAAAAAGAAGTGCATTAAACCAATTTGCATACAAGAGTATAATAAATTTATGAAAGGTGTTGATCACACCGATCAATACCTATCGTGTTATTCCATACTTCGCAAAACAAAAAAATGGAAAATAAAACCGGTTTTATATCTCATAAACTGTGCATTACTCAACGCGTTTCAGATATACATAAAAAATTCTGAAAATCCTTTTAGATTCAAACAATTTTTATTAAACCTTGCACTAGCATGGATTAATGGGAATGAAGAGAAGCAACAATCAAGATCGGCTGCTCAAAGTGATAAAAGATCGTCAAGGTTTGATCCACCAGGAAGACTTACTACGGACATGAGAAAACATAGAATAACACGTATTAGTGGTAATGGGAGAATTCAAAACCCACGAAGAGCCTGTAAAGTCTGCACTGCCACCAAGCCAAGAAAAGAAGTTCCACTGCATACATGTGTTCTTCCTGCAACGTTTCTCTGCATGTTGGACAATGTTTTCAGAATTATCATACTAAAAAGAACTATGGATCCTAGAAGTTAAATTTTTTAAATAAAACGTTTTAGTACTAATTAAAAAATATAATTGGAATAAAATGGAATAATATTACTGTAACAGTTATTTTAGTGCTTTCTTTAATAATAATTATATACCAATGAAAAATTCCATAAATATCACCGTTGGCGAGCAGAAGAACCAGCAGCAGTGTAACGGCACTTCGATAAATGCACGGCCCGCAAAGTGTTAATACTTCTGGAATTACAAACTCATCTATGATGTACTACTTAAAGCTATGGCTAATTTTATAAAAATCTTAAAAGTTTAAAAAAAATTTATTTTTACTTAAAAATACAAAATATATTATAGAGCAGCATAATTAGAATGACGAGTATTTTAAAAATATGATAATTTTTAAAACTATTATTCTAAAAGTGTTAACTTAAGTTACAGAAAGCTATCCTACACTGGATTCATTTGGTATCAACTGACAGCTTTCACTTCAATTAAAATACTTGAAAAATTTTAAAAATAAACACAGTAAATGTTTAGTCTGAACCACTGACAATGGCATAGCTAGGGAGGGCACGCAACCAGGGGGTGTCAAATTGATGTTCTACATTGCATTTTGGCAAATCGGGAGAGAGAGCACAAAATCTTTCGCTGTCTCCAGGCATTGTAAGCCCTAGCTACACCTCCGACCACTGAAAATTTGAGGGGACCTTAATTTTATATTTTCTGTAATTTTAAAATGCAGATTTAAGATAAAAGACAGAAGAAATGTATTAATTTGATAGTTTGTTCACGAGGAAGTAAAATATGTTTCAGTTATTAAAACAAGCAGTTTTTCAGATTTTAAATTACGTCCAAAGGGGCATTTTTTTAATGTTTTGTGTGTTACCATTATTTATTAAATATCATGTTCTTTGCACTTAAATCATAAAATTCAGTTCCATAGCAATGTCGCAAAATAATTTTAAAATGAGCATATCTTTAGAATTTCCAAGACAGTTCCACGCGCTGAAAATAAAAAGGTCCCCCCCCTTAGCCTGAATTGTATTTATTATATTTATGTCTATTTCTTGCACATGCTTAAGGCTTATCAGATTTCTGAATAAATAAATTCCCATCATATACTTAAGCCTTATTGAGGGCCAGCACTAGATAGCTTTCCGCCTGATGCAGTCTCTGTGGGTCTTAAATTTTGCGACTCGATACAGGCATACAAGCCCTGGCGCTGGTTCTGGGTTTATGTGAATAACAAATCAGTTATTCTTAATTTAAATAGTCCTGATGTAATCTTTGGGTCTATGAGTATCATCAACAAAATCTATTTTTTAGCATATGAAAAGAAACTTTTGGTAAATTTTTCCCCGTCAACATTTTTAGCACACTTAACTTAAATCTGTAATCATGGCCAAGCGTAATGTCAACATAAAAGGTTACCACACTCCTTTATTATTCAATTACTAACATAAAAAAATTGTTTAGGCATCGCTACATGAGTCATTACTCAAGTTGTCATGTTTTGACAAACATGCGGTGATGAAAAGAAAGTATAACAAATAATGATTCGCCAGGTTGGCGTCAGTTCAACAATGTATCTATGTGGAATGTTTCGGTTTGAGATGTATGCCAAGCAGATACACAGCAACGGAGCCAAATTACTGATCATACAAATTTATGCTAAAATGATTGCTTCTTCAATAATAAGATATTTTTATTTAGTGTCGACACAAATATAAGAATTGAGACTCTCCAGATGTTTTATTATGCACGGAGAGGGAAATCAAATGTGCATGCGTAAAGCCTATGAGAAAACATTGTTGGTGGTTTTGAGGTCCGGATTTTACATCATTCCGGATAATGGACGTCCGGATTTTGGACTTTGTATTGTGTATATATATATATATATATATGTGTGTGTGTGTGTATGTGTGTGTGTGTGTGTGTGTGTAAAATATAAAAAACACGATGGCTTTGCTCTATGCGAACAAGCAGCCTCTAATTAACTTTCCGCAATTTCAGGATCTTTCCCCATGGACAAGTACTTTCGAGAACATTCAAGTCTATTAAGTAACCACTCCTATAAATAGAGAACTCACACCATTTTGCATGGGAGACCGCTTCTGCCTTTACTGCTGTTAGGATTTATGCTGCTGCTCTCATCTGCCTCCCTTTGTTAGAATACTATGATGCAGTGAATTTAATCTTATTCAGTAAAGAATCATGATATGCCTTTTGACTTGAATAAAGATATGGAGCAATAAATTTAAATCCTTCTGTGTTGTCATTGGATTGCCAAGCTTCACTCATGTGCCCAACTGCCAAAATATTACATATATATTTATATATGTATGTGCATGTGTGTATCATAAAAGTTTGAAAAAGAAAACTTCTAACTTAAATTTGAAATTGCCTCTTATTTCTTCTTTTTAATTTGAGTATTTCTCCTCCATATTTTAAAAATATTGATTATTTATAATAATTTTCTGTGGACTGCATCATTTCTAGATTAATCCATATCATATGAGTTTTACATAGCATTCTGATGATGACAAATTAAATAAACCTTCAGCAAAATAATAATTTTAGAGCTTTATTAATCATCCAATTAAATGGTATTGAACCAACACTCACTCACTCAGAATTAAGATTTCATCCTGAACAGATCATATTTTGTTTCCTCTTTTTGATCTACCTAGACTGCCATTTCTGTTTCTCTTCTTACACAAAGTTGTCTAAAATGTAAATGTAATAACAAACAGGCACAATTAATTTTCTAGATTATTCATGGCTGAAAATTTCAACTAATAATAATAATGAAACTCTAAACTTTCCATGACTGCTTGTTATTAAATCTGCCTTGACTGCAAGTTTGCTCTTAATTATGGATCTTCTGTGTGTACTTCAACATCTATTATAATTGCAAATGACATTCACAAATCATCACATATATGTATGCTTAGTGCAAGAAATAAAAGAAAATGAAAATATCACTCTCCTAGTAAGTTTTTCTTTTCAAATACAACTTGCGGCAAACATCAGATATTGGTAGATCATATATTGGTGGTATGCTGTGAGGTACAGCAGGTTTTGGCAACCTGGTATATTCATCAGTTATAGTCTGTAAAGATGCCAAACTGGGAGTCATTACAAGATTAATACCTGGATATATTAATAATGCAAAAATAAAGAGAGAACAGCAAACAAAAACAGGAATAGCTATAGCCCAGTACTTCTGTGGCCAATAAGTCAATCCAAGTGCATGCAACCATGGTGTTGGAATGTAAGCCCATATTAAATATAATATAAGTAATGAGTAACTTCCTAGATAAAGAACAAAGCCATAAACACTCCTTGAAGAAGTTGGTGCTGGTGAGTGTTCACTCATCTTGTTTAGAAGATACACCAATCATTTTACATTAATAACAGAAGCATTCTTGTAAACCTGTAAATATGGATAAAATTTTACACAAATACAATTATATATATATAAAGGTATTTCAAATAACATACAATAAAAATACAAAAATACATTAGTTAACATGTTCGCTACCAAAGCTGGTATAGTGCATTAAGCCAAAATTTTATCTGCATTTTTATACTTTAAATTATTTCCTGTTGTTTTATTATTTAAATGTAGACATAATAGATTACTTTTATCAGTAAACAGATTCACACAAGTATACTCGCAATTGGCATATGAAAGAATAATTCTGCTGCTTGTGACAACTGCAAGAAAATTTTTAACTAGATAAGCAACACTCTATCAATAAGAATTTGAGAAGTCTGTTTATAATATTTCCCAAGTGAGTACTGCCCCCCCCCCAAAAAAAGATTTTGTGTTCTAAATCTTCAATTATAATATTTACATTTTGAGAAATAAATGATCCATTTTAGTGTGCCAAGAGTATTATTTAGTACTTTGTTGCATACCAAACACCTAAATGTTGCATACATTTGTTATGGCAATACCTATATTCAATGATTTAGGCAAGGGCAATAACCACTTACCTCATAACTGGCAAGTAAACTCAGTTTGTCAACTTCAAGTGTTCTTCTAAATGGTAGTGAACATGTTAAACAGAGTGTAAAAAAGTTCTAATAAACAGATGAAATAAGATTATTTGAATTCCAGCTCTCCAAACTCTCCAATGACCTACTGGTTTAATCTGAGCTCTCGAGGCCCAATAAGAGGCAACTGGAAAGAATATGATTTAAATAATGATAATGAGCATCATGACTATCTAAATTGCCTAATGAAGTCTAAATTGTGATAAAAATAAAATTAATGAGTGATTAAATATTTATGCAGATGATCCTGGGTATCACATTAAATATTTATGCAGATGATCCTGGGTATCACATATCAAATGATAGAGAGAGCAACAGTCTATTCAAGACCAATTAAAAAATAAAATAATTATTGCTATAATTACTCAAGCATTTAAATGTTTAGAAAAAGCTCTCAAATAACTACAGCAGCAGAAAGACTAGCCCATATGAAATTTTATGATTAAAAAGGAATTTGTGACCTACATATGAAAACATTTCTTTAAAAGAAAAATACTTTTAAGTTTTCCATTGATTCAGTGATGAATCTATGAATTTTCCCTTTTGCTTAAAACTATCAACTAAACATTGAGCTAAGTACAAAAAATCATATAACTAATATCTGTAAATTCTTCACCATGTATTTTTCAATTAAATTCACTTTACTTCATATGTAATGTTTTTTCAAGACAATTTTTTCCTGACACATATTTAATAATGTAATACTTGCAGTCATTGTTAACTACACTGAGATTACTCTTTCACTTTGAATCTCAAATCTTAACACAAACTTGGCAGGCATTACAGGTCTCATACAATTGATGCTAATAGGCTTAAGCTGTACATCAGTCTTTAGAATTGCCATCTATCATTTCCAAGCAATAAACATAATTTTGCAGTTAATAAATGGTATGGAAAGCCCATTGTCTTTCACATATATTTCAAAGGTTACTTTCAAATTATTAGTTACTTCCAAATACTATCATTGTTTATATTTCCAGAGTTTTCTATTAGCATGAGACATATTCAATAGATAATAACTATAAATAAATGAAGGCTCATCTGTCATCAAAAATTAAAAGTACAAATCATGTGATTTGCCAAGTTTTTAATGAAATGTTGAACACGTTTTACTTTGTCACATTCTAAGCAAATTGAATTTGCCATAAGTCAGTGACAAAAAAAAAAAAAAAAAATATTATATTTTGATCTTCTTTAATGGCAGCTTTGTATGATGTCTCTCTATTGTGGATTCTAATCGACAGTGATTACTGCAAACTTAAATCATTTTGAAAAGTAATTTTAAATGCCAATGGTTTGTTATAAAAGCTGGAAGCAAAGAGTGAAACATTCACCAAAGTAAATTATGCAATAGCTAAAAACTGCTAAAAAATCGACTGCATTCATAATAGCAAGTTTGTGAGAGTTATTATTGTTAATGGAGGGAATTCTGTGCCCAAATAATACAGAAGTATTTAAAAAAAAAGAGTTTGTCTGTCATAAATGTAGTATAGCATGTCAAAGAATTTTCTTTTGACATAGGAGGAACTTTGAAAAAAATGTCATTTGAATTTATATCATATTCATCTTCATTATATGTGTTGATCAACAATTCTTTGTGATGGAAATATTAGTGTTGACACCTGTGAAGTGAATTACAAAAATCATTAATATTCTTGAAACTCTCAAAAACAAAACAAAATAAAAAGTTGCTTCTGTATTTGGCTTAATCAGCCTGATGACTCTCCTACTATGCTAGAACAGAAGGAAGATTTTGTAACTTTACTATGGAAAAAGTCAGAACCAAAAAGAAAGCATTTTGCCCAATATGATTTGATTATTTATTCCAACAGATGAATATATGGGCAAACAATGCTGAATCTCAAAATACCATAAAAGTTATTGTGATAATCAACAGTTTTATTTGAACATAAAGATCAATCATTATTAATATCAACAATTTTTAAATCAAAAGCGAAAAATTATGGCAATGTGATTTAATGAGCAATGCCATTGCTTGAGTAAAGAGAAAATTATAAAAAGAATCTCTGATTTAAGGACACAAACAACAGTTCCTGCAAATTAAGAAGTCAGTGATGAAATTCAATGATCGAAAATGGATACTAGATTCTGCTTTTCTGATATCACACAGCATGCACATGAATGGCAATGTGGTTTATTAAGCAATGCCATTGGTTGAGTAAAGAGAAAATTATAAAAAGAATCTCTGATTTAAGGACAGAAACAACAGTTACTGCAAACTAAGAAGTCGATGATGTAATTACTGCCAAAATCCAAAATGGATAATAGATTCTGCCTTTCTGATGATATTTCACTGCATACACATGAAAGATCACTGCCCATGACTGCAGTTCCAAGATCAACAGTTTCTTTAATCATATGAAAGCTTTTGTGACCAAGCTCAAATCCTGTTTTGGTAGCACAAATCAAAAAAAAAAAAAAAAAAAAAAAAAGATGGAATAAATTTGCAGTATCTTATTTCTCTTCTCCTCATACAAATACATTGCAAAACTAGCTGGGTTGCAAAGTGAGTTGAAAAAAAGAATTAGTAAGTTTTGTTACTAACAGCTTTTTTTAATTTATTTTTAAAGCCAATCAGATGTCACCACTTATTCACATGACCATGGCCACTTCCCTTTCCATACATTTGATGGTTCATCTTGGATTCAATTCATATATTAGTTTACCTCAAGGCCTGCAGTGGAACACCACCTCAAGACAGCCAGAAACACATTGTGCAATACTTGCACAAAAATCACAGTATATCATCGGTAGTTGGAGTTGGAGTAAAACAAACTCTCCATTGAAGGAAAAATTCTTTAATGCATCCTTACTTACAGTTTACAAAGATTACATTTCTTTAGACACTTTTTAACCTTTACAAGCATGTTTTGAAATCTGTGCTCTGCTAAGAAGAACATAATTATGTAAATAATTTACATGAATGTAGCACTTACTAGTCAAGAATGAAGCTGCGGAATCTAAGACAAGACATCAGATTATAGACCAATATGTTGAGAATATATGAGTATAATGACTGGTGTTATACCAATAGATCAAGGAGAAAGGCATTGTCAAGTTTTTCACTGACATTGTTAAAAAAATGAATATTTCTTTATTAATTTTTAGAAGCACTGATTGCTTTTACTTATAACATTGAATTTCATTTTTCATTCATATGGATTTTTATATTAAGTAATTAAATTTCAAAGAATGTGGCCCCGGTTCACCAACAGGCTGTGCATTGAAGACCCTTATTTTAACATTTTTCCTTCCCAATTAAAAGCAAAATTCATTTACAGTTTACATATACTATATATCCATTAAGAATTTGATGTGTTTTAAGCATAGATAATAAGATACTCATTTATAAGACCATGTTGTGTCCGAAACTTACATATGCTAACCCTATCTGGGGATATGTAAATTATTCTAAATCATTAAAACTGCAAAAAGTGCAAAACACTACTCTCAAACAAATTATTAACAGAGGTGATTAATAAGGAAGACAGCCATCCTTTATGAATGTAATACACCCTCAATTAATGACTTTATTGTGAAAACCAAAACAAAATTTCATAAAAACTTATGGAAAGAAAATAATTCCACTAATTCCTCAACTGAGATCTTCAAGGAAGAAAATAAAAAAAGTCCCACAGTCAATTCTTAAATTATAATGCTAAATCTAGGTAAACTGTATTTGTAAATTGCAATATACTTGATCATCTTACTAAAAACTTAGCATTCCTAATGATCAGTGAATGGGAGGATGACCACTCGCCATTGATTTCTACACAAGTTCACTCCTTCTACCATAATTCATGAAATATTGAAAATCTTAGTTCCCCAAATCCATGATCCACTCATTTATGTAAGTTTTTAAAATTCTAATTCTTTTTCATTCATTTATGATTATTATTAATTATTCCTCAAAGTAGCCTTTGTGGCTACCCTTTCTAAATTTGTATGACAATGAAAAGAATTGTAACCTCTCTGTCTAGTCAATCCGTCGCCTTGAGTTCGATCATATGAACCAGTGCACTAGCATCATTGAACAGCACTTAGTCTGATGTCGACTCCTGTTCGTCCTGACTCATCTATTTACCTTCCACACACCTGCCATGATGAGAACTCCTTTTACCAGCTCTGCATTTAACATCAACTGCTACCCGTATAAGAACTTTTCTTCGCTGTACTATTCCATCACTTCTAATTACTATGCCTTTTTTTTTTTTTTTTTTTTTAATATTGCTATCGATCTTCTCTATAGTTCCACAAGTATAAGAAATTGCTATGAACTTTACATGCTATTCAGCTGGTAAAAAAAATCTCACGACACTAATTTGGGTTAAGGCCAAGCTCAGGCACTCTTATTTGAATGTCTGCTCAATTGACAGTTAAGAATTTAATTATTATCAATTGCACAAATTTTTATCCAGTGTAGCCACTGCATATATAATTAAAAGTTATGAATAGGCAACACATCACTAATATCCATTGCAATTTATTATTAACAGCAAGGTTGGTAAGCAGGGTTGGCATAACTGTTCCACAGTGGAAAAAAACTTCAGAAAATGCTAACTGGAAGAGGAAGAAATTAATTTTTGAATGTATTTCCTGCTTACACTATTTTATCTATATTTTATTCATATATTAATACTTATACTACCAATTAATATATTTTCATTTTCTATATAATTTAAGATGCTTTGTTTATATGCTTCTCTGCTTGCCATGAGCTTTTAGGGGGAGAAGGGGTAATTACATCTACTTACATATGTATGTATGTTCAGAATACTTGTTGAGAGGTCCCCTTTCATGAATTTAGGTAGATTTTGAGACTGAATTCTTATTAACATCAATAATAAAAATAACAAAATCATTTTGAAAGAAAAAGAAACAAATTTGAAATTTTAAAAAAAATTACAAAATGAATGTACATATTCATAAAAACAATGTAACAAAAACAAAACTTTTTTTTTCTTCTTGTTATCACATGAAATAACCTATGATGAAATTTTTGTGTTGAATGGATGCATGTAAAAGAAAGAATTATTTGCTCTAATCTTGCAGAACTTACATCTCAAGTGCTTTACACAGTTCATTTGAAATTTCAGAAATGATGCACTCTTTTCTACCATACGAGATTTCATGCACTGCAAACAGCATCAAGGTAATATGCATATGTGTATATTTGTATGTAAATATTTGTACTTACTATAAGATATGCTTCCACATTTGCAGTTTGGATGTATTATGAAGCTGAATTCCATTTCCTAACAGTAATAAAAACAGAAAATTAGCACAATTTATTCAATACAAGCAAAAGTAAAATTGAATTAATTCTTAAAAAACTGAATCTACATTATCATTAACACAGTGTAACATATTGCACATGAATAAGAATTTTATCACAATTTTCACTAGACTTTTTTTTAGAATAAGTTATTTAATTTGTATTTTATTGCAGAAATAATCAAATATTTAATTTCAAAGAAGTTAAATCTATATTAGCGAATTTATTCTCTTTAGAGTGCAATATTGCTTATTTCCTCGTTTTTATTTCAGTTTTTCCAGTTTCTTTCAAAAGAAACTTAACTCTTCTTCACAAAGACTTTTCTCAATGCCTTCTTCAAAGAGACATTAAAAAAACTAGTATTGAGTGGGTGCTTTTAACATTTAAAATTCTCCCATTGATGACAGATACCGCAAACAAGAATGCAGCTACATTTTTTCCCAATATGAGCAGTTTTGAACTCACTTTTGAAGCATCAATAAATGTTGCTCAGGGTACCTATTTAAAGATAACAACCCGTTGAAAAATCTTGTAAATAAAAGCAAATCTTGCTATCACTATCCAAAAATAAGCAAAATATTTACATCAATCAGAATCTATGGAAATGCATACGTCATTATGCAATGAATACTATTTATGAGGCTTTGATTCAAGCAATGCAGAAACATATCTGCTAAATGCCAGTCAGAAGCAATATCAAGGAGCTCTGCTTGTATAGTTACACGAGGTACTGGACATTTCTCTAACTGTGAATATAATTCTCAGGAATTTTTTATCTTTGAGCATTATAATACTAAATGCACAGCTCTTTATTTAAATTTTCTCTCCTTTAATTCACTATTCAAACTAAATCAAACAGCATATACAGCAGAAATTCAGGATAACAGTTTATTATTTTCGATGCCAGTTTAGTATCCAAAACAATTTTTGAAAATTGAGTTAGTTTAACGTCAGTACAGTTAATGCAGTCACAAAAGGATAATGAATTTTATGCACATATGCTCATGAACTTGGTTGATAACTGTTTTTGAGGATATACAAGACATTTTTGCATTGCATCAGATATTCACCTCAAAATTGAGAGCATTCACCTCAAAAGTATTTGTATCAGGCTTCTCGAACATAAGTTGTTAGACAACCATTATGAATTTTTAAAATTTTTGCAACTTAAAAACCAAACCTGTGGATCTTAGAAATCTCTGAAAATATTAGAAAAAATGCAGAGTAAATTCATGAATTCTGGTTTGATAGTCCATTTATTCTAATTTTAAATTATTATTAGCCTTTTTATAGATAAATATGATAAATATAGAAATAAAATATTATAATGCCAAAAGATTTTAAGAATCCGTTTCTAATACTTTTGCTTTTACTGCATTTTTATTGCAATATTTGGCCCACATGTTCTGCAAAATTTTTTTAATGGGCCTTAATGTAAAAAGATTGGACAAGCTCATTTACACTTTGGTTTGAAGTTTGGACGCACTTGAAAAGACTAAAAATAATATTCTAAACAGAAAAAAAAATTTACCATGAATATTTTAGAAATCAGAATCAACTCGTTTCTTGCTATCCTTAAAGATATGTTTATTTAAATAGAAATTGAATTCAATAATGTTTCATTGAGAAATTAATCTTAATGAAAAGTTTCTTGTTGATCAGTGACTTAAAATACATATAAACCACAGTTTTTATAAAATACATTATGTGTTTTAAATGAGAGAAAACAAATGTTTTTATCGCCCTGAGTAAACTAAAAAATTTAGAATGCTGATGTAGATACTTGAACTTTTGTTTACCTGAACTGGAATTTATTCTGACACATTTTCATGTTCAGAATTCAAATATACATAAAATTTTTACAGCCAAATACATCAGGTATTACTAATATTATAAATCTTTACTTAATTTAATTTAATAACTGCTTCTTACAAAAATTTTAAATATTTTAAGGACAACATGATTAAATGCTGAGTTTCTCTATAAAGATTGGGCATGAAAAACAGGTCATTTAATGTTCCTAACACAAAGTTTGAATATTTTAATAATAGTCTTCAAAATAATAAGTAAAATTTTTTACCTTTCCTAAATACCTAACTTTTGTTCATTTAAAAAACTGTTAAATAAATTCACTGAAAAAAACATTACACTAAAATTCTAAAAAAACGTATTTTTATTTTAGTGTTCCTTACTATATTTCAGTAACATTTTATTTAAAGCACATTTATTAGGCTAATTAATTTCTTTTTCATATTTTTATCAGTAAAAACCATTAATGGTATTCCTGATTATCTGCAATCCCACCAAAAAAACTGCAAATTCGTTGCTATTCAAGAACTTGCTGCCGACTTTGGACAGAAACATTTGTCTGGGTGTTTTTATGTCTATTTCAATGATGCCATGTACTATGTTATACACATACCTGGATCACAATGTAAATATTTTCTGGCAACATCATGAGTTGTCACAAAAATACTTTTTGATGACATAATGCATTGCTTCATCAATACTTTTTTTGCAGCTTTTCAGTGGGTTGTAGATAATTAGAAAGTAACAAAATTACTTATATACATTCATGAAGCAGGAAATTTTAAAAATGCAATACATATGGGATCAAATTAGTTAATTCTGCAGTACTTATGTATTATCTCAACCATGTTAGTTGAAATTACCTAAGCTCAGAATACACCAAACTTAGGTAACCTCATGTATAACAATTATTCAGACAACAATGTGCATGACAAATATTCAGCTTCCAATGTCACCATTTTCATACACTCTTTATGTTGTAATCTAAGTTCTAACAGCTTTAATAGAAGCGTTATGACTATTTTTTGTCCTAAACTTGATTCTAAAGTCTGTGCTTTTGGGATTTTCCTACAATAGAACAAAGAGAGGTGAAATTTCCGTAGGAATATATTATTTTGTCACAAAATTTCTAAAAAAAACAATGCTTTGTCAAAATGATCACTACATCATAACAAAAACAAAATCTGTGTGTAACTATGTTTAATAATAGTTGTTTAGAATAAATATAAAACATATGCGGTACTACTCTTGTATGCGCCCTCAGGTCGCCAAATGCCGCTATATGTGTTATGTGCTGGTATTTGGCGGGATTGAGTGTCCTGCGATGGTTATGGGGGGATGTTGGTTTTTTTGGCAACACTTTTTACGTGGAAACTTGGATTTGCTAGTTGGTTCGAGTAGTGTGTGGTAATTAAATGATTTATGGCATGTTGGCAAAATTTTAGTTGCGTGCCTGGTACAACTATTTTTTCGGGGGGCTAGAATTTCTAGAAGTATTTAGGAGAAGAAGGTTTTGAACATTTATTTGTGAAAGATGGTATCAATTTTGTGGATAGTGAGTCTGGCTGTCACATAAATATGATAGAGATTATGTGGCGGCATGTTAAAGCTACGTTGCTTACTTATAATCGGAAACACGATTTTGTGTTTTATTTGGTAGTTTATATATTTTTCCATTGTTGTTCTGAAACGCGAGAAATTGCTTTTAACAAATTTGTGGTGAAATTGTTTTGGTGATGTTTGAAATTGGTATTTCTGCTGTTCGAAGAAGCATTCATTCATGGTAAGTGCATTTTATTTTATTCTTGTCCTTATTACATAGAATGTTATGTTCATTGTTTTTTTAGTATGAATATCTCTCGTTATTGCTGTTTTTTTTTTAATTGTTTAGAATTTATTAGTTATTTTAGTTTATTTTGTTGGTTAGTGCGCAATGCCTAGATTGTGCAATTCGTAGATGTTTTTTTAAGTTTAAACAGAACGCGGTGTACATGGTATTCTTTGAAATTTACTGTTGTTATGTTAATTTACTTAAGCTAGGTATGCATAGTTCATAGATTCCTTTGCTGCATGAACTGTGAAGATTTTTTAAGTTAAAACATATTGCTGTGTACATGAACTCTTGTCAAATATTTTTGGTTAGAAACTTTATGTTTTTGCCATCTAATTTTTTTGTTTTTGCTCACAATACAAACTTACAAATGAAAAATATTGCATGTATTCAGGAATAACAAATTGCTTAATCTAGCAAATGACAAAGGGTTAATTCTATCTATTAGTTTTTAATAAAACATACCAAATGTGGAACAGAAATCTACTACTGAAACTTAACTCCATCTGAATACTAATGAAACTTAATTCCATAACTGAATATCATATTTCATGCAATAGGTGCATAAAATGTATTACATAAGACACACTGAGAGTGACAATTAAAATAATTCAACTATAATAATTAAACTGAAAAAGACAATGCAAATGTATTCCTAATTTTCAGTAACATGTTAAGGAATAACATGTTACTGAAATGAATTTTTAATAATTTAACAAAAATATCTCCATTAAAATCAATCAAAAGTTAACAAAATTTTGCAATATCAATAATAATACATACCTATAACAGTCAAGACATGTATGCCTGTCATTACCTCCTACTGAACCAAAAACATCTTCTGATATGAAAAAGTGGATAATTTAAGATTCCTGATTTGCCATTTGCTTGTCTCGAAGAGTAAGATCTGATGCCGGAGATTTTGCAAAATGTCTTCTATAGCCTAAGAAATATTAACATATCATATTACTTGAGACGGAAAAAGACAGAAAGAATAGTGAATCACTTCACAGAGGATGGCTAATCAGTGCACAGTTTTAATCAAAAAGATAACAGAAAATCATAAATGGATTAATAATTAATTTTAATTGATTAAAATCATTCTGTATTCAAAATGTACCCATTTGAAATGCTCGCAGGAATGAAAAGGTATGCTACTTTTTACCCGACATTAAACAACTAAATCTAAGTACATAAAGAGGGATTTAAAAAATTCTCATCATTTCATATTCTAGAAACATGAATTGTTTGAAATATATTGTGTGCATGCATATGTATTCTCTTAATAGTTAACCTATTTAAAAGTTGTAATTAATACATTTGTAGTATAATGATAATAGATCAAGAAGCAAGTGTACTTTCGCCTGTATAATATTCTGAATTTAAACTACAGAACATAACAAAAACTACTGACAGAATGAATGTAGTCTCTGGTTTTACACGTTGCACAGTCTTTTAGCCTTTTTCTCCTCAATCTGTAGCAATCTTGCTTTTAAAGCAAGAAGAAAGGAGATGAGGACTTTGGCCAAAGAAAGTCTGTGTATACAATACAAAAAATATCTAAGGAGTACAAATCTAAGGAGTATTGTACAAATATCTAAGGAGTATTGTACAAAGAATCCTTACAATACATATTCTTTGCTTTGGCGAACGCCGTTTCTTCCAGTCCGTGAGGCTCGGTAAGTTAAAAGAAGTTGGCGAGTAAACGACTCAACTTCGGAATTCTTAGATTGGAAGTGTTTACTAATTCTGCAGGAAGAAAGTATTGAATGTCCTCTTTATCGCAGAATTTGGCGATATAGTTTTTTAGATGATTGTATTTTTGACACTCATTCAGTTTGTGCTCAAAATCATCTCGTACTTGGCAATTTACGTATAAAAAGAGTACTTAAAAGTTTTAACTTGACTTTAAGGTAGTTCGTGAGGATACTTCGAGTGAGGATTTTGTTAATTTTACATTCCATTTTCCTTGAGTCGGGCCAATTAATATTAAGACATTTTTAAAATGACAATAATGCTTGGTATTCTGCCAGATAGTTTCAAGTTCCCCGTTCTTGTCTTGTTTAATTTCTTTTTTGATATCCTGCCATGTATAAATAGAAAGGATCGGAGTATTGCGTGAATTAACCGCTTGTTTCGCCAAAAAAACTGCTCTTTTGTTGATCTCGATGCCTTTGTGACCAGGTATCCAGCAAATTATAATCTTACTATTTGGCATATTTTTGTAAATTTCATATCGAATATTATCAATTATGTTGTTATTTGAATCTTCGAAGGAGGCAATGGCTTCTACTGCCCCAAGGCAGTCGGTGAAATTATCGTCGCTTCGGAAAGGTTAGCTAGATATTTCAAAGTGCACCAAGGCCCACCAGCAGCCGAGCGGTAACGTCGCTGAACACTGCTAGTTCGGTCCGAGGTTCGAATCCCGCGAACGGGCTGGCTGAACGGGCTGTGTGTTTTCGTGGTTTTCCCCATGTGTAACGTGTATACGAGCCAGTTTCCCTTAGAAAGTCCTCCACGAAGGCATCCCTCTCCTTAGGCAGATAGCCCTAGTGTGCTTTGCCATAATTAAATACAACACAACAACAACAAAGTGCACCAAATTGCTGAAACTTCCGCGGTGTATATAGAGGGGTTTCTTTCAATTTTGATGGCTCTGTTCACGGTATTCTGTAGATTTGTTATTACAAATCCGGTTCTGTCCAAGTTTTTGGAACAGTCTGAGCCCCATACGTTTTCTGCTTAGAAATCCGCAGTCAAATTTTTAATAAAAGGAGCGTAATCAGTGACAAAATCGTCAAGATTCTTTAAATCAATGTTACAAAACTTGCTGAAGTTTATCCAAGGCGGAACCCGTTTATTTTGGCGAACAACGTTAATATCTAAAATCCATTTAGATTCATAGCTGTCAAGAACTGCCCTTAAATCCTTTCTTTCTTTCTTAAACCTTTCACCTCTAGTGGTCGGCTCCCCGAAATTTTTTATTTATGATGGATAATGTTCTTTGCAATTTTTTATCTTATTGTAATGCGGAATAGCTGCATTTCTCCTTATAACGTCATTGGGAGCAAAATGTCCTACCCCTAAGGCTTTTCTAATCGCTTTATCATACTTATTTTGGGAGGAGAGAGATTCTCCTCAAATGATTTCACATCCGTATATGAGTTGGGGAATCATGATCTGTTGGATGATCTTTAATATGTTTTTTGTTCTCATTCCTTGAGTTGGGTGGGAGAGGATTTTGATCAAGTGTTATTTAATCTTTTAACCAGCTATGCCTCGTGAGCTCGCCAACTGAGGTTGTGTTCTAGTATAACGCCAAGTACTTTATGCTCTTTTTTCCATCCAATAATGAGAGCTCCTATGCTGATGGGGCAAGAGTATTTTTTTCTTCCTCTTGAGAAGTCAATTAGTGTTGATTTCTCGAAGGAGAAAGCAACCTTGTTTTCAGTAGACCAGCTAAGAGTCTTCTTGAGAGTATCTTGTAAGTAGGAATCTCGACTATTCTTCCTAACAGTTACATGCGCATAAATATCATCAGCGTAAATAAAAGCTTGGAACACCTATCATTCAGTTTACAAAAATCCAACATGAAACAATTGTAGAGGAAAGGGGATAAAATAGCTCCTTGTGAGAGACCCTTGAACATCAGCTTTTCTGCGGATAGGATACATCTCCACTTTACAAAAATCGTACGATTAGTAATAAAGTTGTAGATCCAACGCACCAGGGTTGTGTTCATGCCCATCTTTTCCAGCCTTTCAATTAATACCTCATGTTGCACATTATCGTATGCACCTTTGATATCTAAGCAAATTAAGTAGTTTTCCAGGTTTTTGCTTCTGGCTGACCAGATAGGCTCATAAATGTCTCTAAGGCAGCCCGTTACGCTAGTGCCTTTTCTAAAGCCATAAATATTTGAAGGAAAAGCATTTTCTGTGTCAGCCCACCATTCTAAGCGGCGCAAGATTATTTTTTCAAGGGTTTTTCCAATGACTGACGCTAAAGAAATTGGCCTGTAATTTGCAATCTCTCTCCCATTTTTATTCGGTTTTAAGACCAGAACAACTCAGGATGTTTTCCAGATTTTTGGAATTTTGCTCGATTGCAGGCTTTCGTTATACATCTAGAGAAGGGCTTTCTGCCTATATTTGGTAGCAACCCTCAGACCTTTGTAAGTAATTCCATCGGGACCCGGGGAGGAGTTTTCCTATTCCTTAGTGCGTTCATTAAGTCTTTGGCGGAAATTGTGTCAATTTTAGCCGAAGACCAGTCGATAGGAGCCGACTGGGTAGTATTGTCATTGGAACTGTAAAAATCCGCGAAAATATCCGCCTGAGCAACCTTGTCTAATACATCTATGTTGGAGTGTGTGATTACAAAATTTAACTCCAAGGGAGAGACCGATAGATATTTTTTAAGGTTTTTTTACATCAATTTCACTACAAATCATTATTGGTGAACTTGGCTTAATCTATGCTGCATATCTGTCCGTGTCACATAATAAGAAACATACTGTACATACATAGCATGAAAATTATACATAGCACTAAAAATTATATGTAGCATTAAAAATATACATAGCATCAAACATTATCATTCAAAGTTATACATAGTATTAAAAATTATGCGTAGCATTAAAAATTATACATAGGAAAATTATACGTGGCATTAACATGTAATGTAATACATAGCATTAAAATTATAAAGTAATACCGTAAACTGTTTTACTACTAGTACGCTAAGTGGATCCTGCGATGTAGTTTATATGGTTGCACAATTAACGTGTAATAGAGAGCATATTAAGATACTTTAGTGCACGTAACAGAATGCTAATAATCAGTGTAGTTTCATAGTGCGATTATATAGTACAAAATTACTTTGGCGTTACATAATGCCTTTAAACTATTGGTTACTGGACTTTTAAATAGATGTATAACTTGCTGTTTTGCTCAATGAACTTAGTACAACGAATAAGTTATATAACTTACTATCCGCACAGATATTGTACTCCTTAGTAGCTGTGAATACAGAATATTTTAAACATAAAATAGGTCCTACAAGGTACACATGTTATGTTACAGTTGAGTTGCTGAGTGAGATTTTGTTGCAGCCACACGTTATTTACATATTACATAATATATGCGTTTCATAATATGCGCTTACATAATATATAGGATTATAAGATAAATAATAAAATACTCGAATGCAGAACATTGCAAATTTGAATAGGTAAGTAAATGAATGATACTGAGATACATTAATAACGATTAATATTGAGTAACTAGTACTAAAGAATAGTATTTAATACTGAAACTCATAAGTGCATAACAAAGTTCGCAAATAGTACTATATGTTGCAAAATTTCTTAATTTAATGCAAAACATACAGCTGTGTTAAAGGAATTTGGTGCGGAAATCGAAATGATGCAACTATCTCATCACCATTAATACTAAATAAGCGCATGATAAATTCTAGATTAGATATGCTTGCTTAGTAGGTTGTACGATTTGCAATAAAGCATAATTACATAGAGGTAAAATAATAAAGAATACAGGGAAGTACTATAGTTGACATGACTCGGTGCGCATTTTGATTACATGACACTTCTTGGTAATATGCAATAAAAACATAAAAAGATAAAAATGACAACATACTGAGATGAACGAATACTAAGAATGAAGTTCTGAGTACAATAAGCAAAGCGCAGAATACCATGGTACAATGATTAAACAAGCATGAGATTTTGTACAACTAGCAACACGTACTATGTTATTGATACGCATACAGGATCTTGCTTACATTACTTATAGCAATGCTAAATATACATAATATAATACATTCTTAAGATAATTTACTTATGAAACATACTTATGAGAGTGTCAGTTTATCAGTTCATTACTTAATGCTAATGGGAGTCCACTTACATATATATACATTGAATTATATATTTAAAACATTCAATTTAAATGGAAGGCATAAGACTACAATTATAATGATTAAATTAATATATTAGACACGTTAAGGTGTTGACAACATACACTATAGTTACAACATTCAGATTAAATGAAAGCATATGATGTCAATTATAATAATTAAGTTAATGCTATAATCACATCGAGGATGATTATTACAGTCAAGTAAAAGTCACATCAAGTGTAGTAATTAAGGTAATACATTAAATGCATCCAACGAATAGGATAAGAGCATGATAAAAATAATGTGGACATAACAGTAGTAAACAGACATTACTTATCTGGTAGCAAGGTTATGCGCTGGGAGGTATTAGGTGACAAATGAAAAGTGTACCCTGCAGGACTTGATGATCTTGGGAAGCTTAAAGCACGCACCCCTCCGTTCTAGTAGCACTTTTGTCCATTCCCTCCAATATCTGTTTGATGGAGGACGCATGTGGTGCGCCTCTGTCAAACTGCATGTAAATGCAGAATGGTCTGGCGTTCCGACTAGTCCACATTCACAGAGATCATGGTCTCTAAGTCCAAATCTGTGTAGGTAATCAGGAAACGGGCCGTGCCCAGAGAGGAACGTAATCAATGAAGATGAATTGGAGAAGACAAGGTCTGTGACTTTTGGGATAAATTTATACGTCCTTCAACCTGTCCGGGAAGTATGCCATCTCTGCTGCCATTCTGCGTAAATGTCGCCGCGTGTAATCTTTTTGAGATAAGAGGAAGGCAGAGGTAGAGCATGTTCTGGCAGGAAGATACCCGAAGACGCTTGTTTTGACTGTTTGTCCGCCA